GTAGTAGTAGTAGTAGTAGTAGTAGTAGTAGTAGCCTTTTAAGTAGTAGTCTTAGTAGTAGTAGTAGTAGTAGTAGTAGTAGTAGTAGTCGTCGTAGTCGTAGTCGTAGTAGTAGCAGTAGCAGTAGCAGTAGCAGTAGTAGTAGTAGTAGTAGTAGTAGTAGTAGTAGTCGTAGTAGTAGTAGTAGTAGTAGTCGTAGTAGTAGTAGTCGTAGTAGTCGTAGTAGTCGTAGTAGTAGTAGTAGTAGTAGTAGTAGTAGTAGTAGTAGTAGTAGTAGTAGTAGTAGTAGTAGTAGTAGTAGTAGTAGTAGTAGTAGTAGTAGTAGTAGTAGTAGTAGTAGTAGTAGTAGTAGTCGTAGTAGTAGTAGTAGTAGTAGTAGTAGTAGTAGTAGTAGTAGTAGTAGTAGTAGTAGTAGGAGGAGGAGGAGGAGGAGGAGGAGGAGGAGGAGGAGGAGGAGGTAGGAGGAGGTAGGAGGAGGTAAGAGGAGGTAGGAGGAGGTAGGAGGAGCAGGCGATGCTGGCTCCGCGCTGCGGGCCGCCCTGCCATTTCCGTGTCGTGCTTCCCTTCGCCGTGCAGGTCGGCCTTGCGCTGCCCGACCGGCCTGCGCGCGCGCGCCACAGGACCACAGCAACGCCACAGGAAAGCATCGCATTGAATGTGTAGCTCTACATGCGTGCCGCACACGCCTGCGAACGTACCCACCCACCCCAGCGCGCGCCCCAGGAGCTCCGCCTGGCGGGGCTGTACCCCCCGGGCCAAGACGTCGGGCGTGCGAGGGCCAAGGACCTCACCGCGCGGCTGCCGCGCCTTAAAGCTCGGCCCTCTTCGCTGGAGGAGCCTTCCTGGCGCGGGCCCACCCCGGCGGTCGCGCTGGCAGGCTCGGCGGCGCCCAGACGGACGTGGCGCGAGCGGTGCGGCATTTGGGAAGGTGGCGGGGCTGCTGAGGAGGCAGGGCCAGACGTGCTCGCGTCGTGAAGAAATCAGGACGGGTGTGTGTGTGTGTGTGTGTGTGTGTGTGTGTGTGTGAGGGGGGCAGTGTTTGGCTTATGTTGGTCCTTACGGGGCCCCGGGACCGTAACAAAAAAACGGCACAGGGCCCGCCCCTGGGAAAGGGCCGGGAATTCCAGGGACCGCGCACTAAAACAAAGGACATCGCATGTCAGAAGCCCGTTCGGCGTCAAAGATGCCTGCTTAGAGGTCGCTGGGGCCTTCTGAGCCCTACCTTCGAAGGACCCCCCTTCCGCCTTCTTTGTAGATCACCCTCCTCGCGCCATCCCTCTCTTTGATGCCGCCAACATGCGCTAGCCCTGACCTCCAGAGGAATGCTTGTTCGGGTTCAAAACAGATGCTGTGGGGGCGGCGTTGGTTAAGGAACGTGCACGGGAGGCTTCAGACCCTGGAGGGTTCCTTATCAGATGAGGGTGGCGGTCATATCCATGGCCAATCCGCGAGTGGAGTTCCACTGGCTTCCAGACCCTGGATTCCTTACCCAGTGCTTCCTTGTCCAATGCCCGCCCCGTACATGCTGGCACACACACACAACACACACACACACACACACACACACATCCTGGCGCTCTTGCTTCGTTTCGGCCCTCGGGGGCTGGTTTCGGGCCCCCCCGAGGCCAACAAGCACGAATCCGAGGCGAACAGCCTCTACCCCGGGGAAGGGCCCAGCGCTCTGGGGCCGTGGACTGCAAAAGCCACGTGAGCGACGCAGATCGCGGACTCGGCAGTTCGGGCATTCTCGCCCCAGTTGCTTGCGTGAGGTCGCGCGTGAGCGCCCGCGTTTCCAATGCAGGGCTCCGCTCTGGCGGCCCGCGTAAGCCAGGGCGTAAGGTCGCTCATTATTCCCCGTCTCCTAAGATGGGGTTCTAGTTCCCCATATCCTAAGATGGGGTTCTTGTTATGACTTGGACGCCTCCTACTCCTCCTCCTTCCTCTTCTCCTTCTCCTCCCCTCTCCTCCTCATGCCCAGACTTACTCATACACAGACTGACTCACACTCAGACTGACTCATACCCAGATTTACTCACACACACACAAATTACCCTGACCTACTCATACTCAGACCTACTCCTACTCAGACTTATTCATGGTGAGACTCACGCACGCCCCGATCGCGGCCGTTTTGTGGGGATGCCTCAAGCGGCTTGTTTGTTTTCTGTCCCAACACCCTTGGCTACCAGAGCAGATTGTGAGGATGTCTCAGGCGGGGCGCTGGTTTCAGCTCTCCCTGAGGGGAGCCGCCAGGGGGTATCTCACGGTCCCGTTCGCGGCCGTTTTGTGGGGATGTCTCAAGCGGTTTGCCTGTTTTCTTTTCCATCATCCTTCGCTTTCGGAGCAGATTTGGAGGATGTTTCGAGCGAGGCGCTCATTTTCACCCCCCTAAGGGGAGCCGC